CCCCAGACACTATATCATTTGATAGCTGGGCACCATCAGCTTTCTTCACATTTGCTTGTGCAACTATTGTCTTCAGCGATTGTGCCAGGATGGTGAGCATCTCAGACTGCCGAATTGTTAGAACAAAGTGTTCTTGTGTTGAGGGAGTACTTGTGCAGGGGCCCACTGTCCATCTGTTTTTGTAATCTCAACCTATAAATATATGTACATAGATCTATTTCCCCTCATTGTATATAAATATATTTACATCTTTATATGCCTGTATTTACATCTCTATGAGTACCCTTTGCCTCCTAGTTCTTTCCTCTATTTCTTTGTACTTTCCTCTTGTCCCACTTTCATATTCTGCCTTAATTTGGGTCTTAGGAATTCCTCTCAGTTACACTGCCCTTAATCCAGTCCTGCCAGACCTCCCACACCTTCCTTGACACTGATTTTGGATCACTTGTTATTCCTTTGTCCCTGGGCTTGTTAAAACCCACTTCCTTTCCCTCGCCTCCCTTCTCCCATGTCCCCCCGGAACTGTCATCCTGTTGTTCTCTCTTCTGGCTTGTGTATTCCATATATCCCTTCCAGGTAGACATGCTATGTATCATCACAAGGCTGAGTACAATGAAGCAACAACAGAAAGCAAAACAACAGCTACAACAACAATACACACACACACAAACATATAAATAGTTCAGGGTCTGTTTATTGTGCTTCACGGGAGCTTTCCAGTCTAGTCCGATGGGGTGCCAGGCCCTGGCGCTGCCTCTATCCCTGAGGACTTCATTGCTCTGCTCCCCGCGCTGCTCTGCTGCATGACCCCAGTGGCTGGCCTGGGTGTGCTGTGCTCATGGCAGGCACAATTCCCGCCATGTGTCTCTAGTGTTGTCCCCAATGGTGCTATGGGTCACTGAGGAATGCTGTGTCCCATGGTGAGGCTGGCCCTGTGGTCATCTCTGTGCATTGCTGTTCTGAGCAGGAACATCATCCTCAGGGCTCAGTGAGCCAGGATATGCTTCACTTCCCCCCCACCCCCTTCCCCCCTCATTGGCTCCTGTGTGCTCTGATCAGACAAGTCCCTCTTCTTGAGCTGTCACTTCAGTGTTGTTCTCTGAAGTGAATTCTTCTTGGGGGGGGCGGGGAGGGTGGTGCTGTCCACTTAGTTTGTAATGGAGCTGGCCCCTCAGGCCTCTTTATCGGTTCCCTGCTTCATGTCAGTGAAGCACCTTATTTTGTGGGAGTCACAAGACCACATCTAGATGACCCAAATTAACAATTCATTGCAACACAGACCCATTCATACCAGACACAAAAATTAACAAAATGTAATTCATAAATCTAAGTATAGTAATATGTTAAGCCTATTAAAACCCTAAGGGAAACATAGGAGTAAAATTTTGTATTCTTGCATTAAGCCATACTTTGTTAGATATGACACCAAGACAAAAGATTAATAAATTGAAAATTGAAATAATTAAAATTTAAAACTTTGTTCTTTAACTGACACAATCAAAGAAGCAAAAGGACAATCTACAGAATGGGGGAAACTTTCAAATCATGTACGGACAAAGAACTTGTATACAGAATGTTTTTTTTTAATGATCACAACTCAACAATAAGAATAAAAATATTCTGATTTTAAAGTAGCAAAAGATTTTAAAATAGGGAAAAGACCTGCCTGTTGTATGATTTCCTTCATATGAAATGTCCGCATAGGTCAGTGCATACAGATAGAAAGGACATTAGTCTGAGAACATTTAACAGGGCCCACTTAAGGAGGACATTACTGAAGACAAGGGAGCTGTAGCAAAGTGTGCTGTAGAAGCCAGATGGTGCTCAGGCAGCAGGTAGAATTGCACCTGGGGTCTTAAGGTTTGTCTTAAGAAAGCCATCTATTTGAGGGGACAGCTAAGAAGCATGTCAGCCTGGGTGACCCAAGCATTGTAAATAATACAACTCAAGACCTGAGGAGGGGACAGTGTTAGGGCTTAAATCCTGAGCACACCGTGTGTAGAAGAGTGTAGATGACAGTGAAAGCCCAAATCGATTTGCAGCTTCTCCACTTGGATTAAGCTCAAGTGAATCCCCTCTGACCGCTGACCAGTGATGTCACTAAGGTGCTGTCAGAGTGCAGTGGAAAATGGGCTAATGCACCTGTGGCTAGGTAAACATTTAACATGTGTCATTTCTTCTCCCTTTTGACTCCTAAAAATGTGTTCTGGATTTCAGTCTTTTCTGTCATCTTTTCAGCTGAGGTTTTTCTCTGTTTGAGTTTGTTATTGCTGTTGGAGTTTTGTCTGTTGCATTTTGTTTTCCTTTACATGCCACACAAAATGCATAAATCTGTAGAATTGGGAGCTAATAATAATGACAAGAAGGAAGAAAAATATTCTAAATTGTAGTGGTTATTACACAACTCTTCAATATGCTTAAACTATTCAATTGGATGATATGTATGTTACTTGTCAATAAAACTGTTAAATTTTTTAAACAATGTTCTTTTCACTGTCACAACTCAATAATAGAAAGAGGTAAGTGGTTGCCTAGGACTGGGCTCTCGAAAGTGGGGGAGCAGAGAGAGTGGGGAAACGAGTACTGAAGGGACAGCGCTCCTTTTGGGGGTGATAAAAAGGTTCTACAGCCGGATGGTGGTGACGGCTGCAGAACCCTGTGAATAGACGAAAGACCACTGAGTTGTACACTTCGATGGGAAAATGATCTGGTGTATGCATTGTACCTCACTAGACCTGTTTTTAAAAAGAACACGTACACAACTCTGAAGCTACATCCAATTATGCAAGTAAAATGTGTAGGCACAGAGAGGAAACGTCGTGCAGGAAATCAGATGACCTCGAAGGGGACAAAGACGCAGAGACAGAGAGGAGGGCTGGACCGAGGACTGGGAAAACCAAGAAGGCTCACCTTTTCCAGCGTACTGAAGGAAGGCCAGGACTGATAGCCGTACTCAGATACCAACCGAGCTTTGGGGAAAATGTTCCAATCCCAGCAATCACCATAGTAGTTGTAATAATGTACATCGCCAAAATGTGTGTCCTCAGGGTTTTGAGAGACCCATCCTTCTGCAACTGATTTGGCCCCATTTGTAGGACTAGATGTGATAAAAGGCCGTGTCTTGTCTCCCTAGGGATAAAAATAAATGTTTTAAGATATTTTCATCCAAAAATGAACAGATCTTCTACTTCTGTAAAAATACTATTCTCTCATATCTAAAAAATACTGTCAAGAACCAGAAATGCCAAATACTGAGAGAAAATAGTAGGATCAATTGCCTCCTCTCCTTTTTAACAACATCCTGCACCTCTGATTTTCCTCGATTTTTTATATTCATTCATAATTAACATTGCAATCACTCCTCATAACAGCTCCTCCTAGTCTTTTCCAATCGCCTTTGGCCTCCACCCTCATCTGTCATGTGTAATGGCACAAGCTACTGCAAGGCTTGTCCACTTTAGCACTGTTGACATCTGGGAATGGGTATAGCTTTGAAGTGTCTGTTGTGAAGACAGAGAAGGAAGCTCTCCTGGGCACTGGGTTGACTAGAGAGAAACAAATTCATAAACACTCATGTGTGTATAAAAGAGAGGTTTACATAAAGAGTAATTATATATTAAGGACAAACCCCAGATCAGTCCAGATCCAGTCCATAAGTCCGATATTAGCCCATATGTCCAATACTAGTCCATAAACTCCTCTTTAGACTCATGCCACATGCAATGGAAGATCACAAGCCAGTGAGTGAAGTCTTGTGGATCCAGTGGCAGTGGAAGCATCTCAGCGCTGGCATGGGTCTCCATGTGGCTCCTCCAGCTCCAGGGCTCTGGTTCCATCATCATAGCTCCATGCGGCTTGTCAGCAGGAAGGTCTTGCAGTAAGAGTGTGTGTCTCAACAGCAGGAAGGGAACACAGAGAGACTGGGTCTGGCCTCCAGTGAGCTATTTATCTCTGTTGCGCCTCCAAATGAGGTCACCAAGCTGCCACCTGATTGACAGGCTAGACCCCACCCCTTGCTCAACTGACAGGAGATTATGTAACTGCCACATATCCAATAAAAATAGCTGTCTCCAGGCATTGCCATACATCCCCAGGGTGACGAAACTACCTTTTAATTGAAGATAGGCTTGGAAACTAATAATTTAGGTGGTCTTGGGTTTACATGACAAATCAGAACCTTATTACCTTTGGATAGGCCAAAGCCCCAGTATTCTTATCTATAAAATGAGGATAATGACAGTACCTCCTCCTTCATAGGGATGCTGTGAATATTAAATGTGATGACTCAGGAATGAAATGGCTAAGTCACCACCAACATGCATATTTCCGCTTCCATAAGAAAGAGCGGTCTCTAAGAAGTGGGTGCCTAGCCAGAGTGTACATTTCCTATCCCTCCTTGTGCCTAGCTCTCATCCTCTTCTGCCAGGAAAGGAAGGGAAGATCAGCATGGATGTCAGAAGAGACTCTGAAACTTGTAGAGGAGCTAAAGCAAATTGAAGAAAGAATGAAGTCAAAGAGCTGAATAGAAAATATTAATGGGGAGCTCGAGAAGACAAAGTCAAATATTATAAAGAATGTGCAGAGGTTTAGAGCTACAAAACCAAAAGGAGAGAACACACTCATATTTTAAACTGAAAGAACTCAAGAAAAAATTCAAGCCTCGAGATCCAATATTGACCGTTTCTGTGGACAAAGTATTGAACGATGCAGGAAGCATCAAAAGATGGAAAGAATACACGTAGTCCCTATACCAAAAAGAACTAATAGACATTCCACCATTTCAAGAGGTAGCATATCCAACAAGAACCATTGGTGCTGTAAGAAGTTCATGCTGCCTTGAAAGCATTCACCAAAAACCAGTCTCCAAGAATTTGTAGGATCCCAAGTACAATGTCTCAGCAGGCTGAGGAAGCACCGGAAACATGCACTAGTCTATGCTCAGAAATTGGGAAGACAGCTACTTGGCCAGCTGACAGGAAGAGACCCATAATTATACCCATTCCAAAGAGAATGCTCAAACTATAGGATAATATCACTGATACCATAAGCAAGTAAAACTTTGCCAACGACCGTGCAACAATGGCTGCAGCTGTAGACTGACAGGGAGCTCCCAGAGGTTCAGGCCGGATTCAAAAGAGGACCTGGAACAAGGGATTTCATTGCTGATGAAAGATGAATCTTGGCTGAAAATCGAGACTACCAGAAAGGTGTTTACTTGTGTTTCATTGACTATGTCAAGGCAATTGACTGTGTGGACCATAACAAGCCACAGATAACCTTGAGAAGAACAGGATAACCTTGAAAATAATGGGAAGAACATTCAATGTGCTCATGAGGAACCTGTACATGGATCACAAGATGGTTGTTTAAACAGAACAAGGGGATTCTGCGTGGTTTAAAATCAAGGAAGGGGTGCGTCAGGGTTGTATCCTTTCACCACACTTATTCAACTTGTGCGCTGAGCAAATCATCCGAGATGCTGGACTATATGAAGAAGAATGTGGCATCAGGATTGGAGGAAGGCTTATCCTGTTTGCCCAAAAATAAGACCGTGCCTTATATTAATTTTTGCTCCCAAAGATGTGCTAGGTCTTATTTTCAGGGGATGTCTTATTTTTCCATGAAGAATACGGTACATGTTTATTGTTTTATTAAGAGACCTCGCACTTCCTGTCTGCTCCAGCTGCACTGCGGGCTACCAGTGAGCTGCATGGCGGTGCCCGCCACCATGGTCCAGTGTGCAGAGTTGTGGTAGCTTCAGGAGGCTCTTATTTTGGGGGAGGTCTTATTTTGGGGGGATGCCTTCTATTTCAGTGAGAGGCAAAACTGTAAGTAGGTCTTATTTTCAGGGGGTGTCTTACTTTCATGGAAACAGGGTATTAACAACCTGCTATATGCAGCTGACACAACCTTGCTTGCTGAAAGGGAGAAGGAACCGAAGCATGTTGAAGATCAAGGATTTCAGCCTTCAGTATGGATTACAACTCAATGTCAAGAAACCAAAATGCTCACAACTAGACCAATGGGTGACATCATGATAAATGGAGAAAAGATGAAAATTGTCAAGGATTTTGTTATGCTTGGATCTACAATCAATGCTCTTGGAAGCAACAGTCAAAAGATCAAAAGCTGAATTGCATTAGATAAATCTGCTGCACCAGACCTCTTTGGAGTGCTGGTAAGCAGGGAGGTTACACTGGAGGACTAAGATGTGTTTTCCCCAAGTCCTGGTATTTCCAATGGCCTCACATGCATGTGAAAGCTGGACATTGAATATGGAAGCCTGAAGGAAAATTGTAGGGCTGGCCAAGAATACTGAAAGCACCATGGACTGCCGAGAGGACAAACCCATCAGTCTTGGAAGAAGTCCAGCCAGAGTGCTACTACAGGCAAGGATGGCGAACCTTTGTCTCACAATCTTTGGTCATGTTAGCAGCAAAGACAGCCCCTGAAGAAGACTTCGTGTCTGTTAAAGTAGAGGTGCAGCATAATAGGGGGAGGTCCTCAACGACATGGATCGACACTGTGGCTGCGACCATGGGCTCAACAGTAAGAACAATGGTGAGGCGGATGCAGGACCTGGCAGCGTTTCCTTGTGTTGTGTATAAGGTACGATGGGTATCTACAACGAGAAGGTCTTTCTTCTCCATCTGTCTCCTTCCGGAAACTCTACTGACACCTATTCGGCATCAGTGGTGGCTGCACATGACGTGCCTTCGCAGGAAACTGAACCCACGCCTCCCACGTGCAAGGTAAGAAGTCTTATCCCGGAGCCCTCTAGCTCCCTTGACAGGTTGCGGTTGGTTGGTCACATCAAACAGTATGTAAGTGTTCATTGGATTGCCTCGCTCACACAATCCAAACTGACTTCTTACTGATGGCATCAGACCTCTTTGATCAAGAGATTCATATGTTGAGCAAATAATCTGTCAAGTGTCCACTGTGTATCAGGCCTTAGTTGGCACTTCAAAGAGAAGGATGTGGAGACCAGCCCTGAGCCATGATAGCTGCTCTTCCTACACGCACTCTTTCTGCGGGCGGGAGAGTGTACAGGGAGAAGACGTGCACAGTAACGGACCTCTTCAAAGAGGTAACTTAGCGGGGAAACCAGACACTGGACAAGGAATTTGAAGTGCAGTGGCTGTTTTGAAGGAAATGTGCAAGGCTCTCTGGAAATGTAAACTATATAGAAGGATTTTTCAGCTTCCCTGAAAATATACTTTCAGAAAATTCTATTTCAGAGGTTTTCCGTTAGTATTTTCTTTTATCCACCCTCTCCCTCTCTGCTCTCACTCGGCTTTCCCTTCTCGCGTAAACGAAGAATTCTCATTCCCTCTCTTTATCGTCCTCTAGGTCACGCTTTGATTTGGTTTTGGAACGATCACCTATAAATTATCTTCTTTTTTTTTAAGTGCTTTCCCCCTTCAGCCACTATAAGAATTCCCCTCTCTCATAAAAAGTGTCTCTGGTCCCTTGAAGCCTAGCAAACATCTTAACCACCCACTCATCCACTCACTTCTCAGTTCCTGACATTTGGGACCTGGAAATTCCATTGAAAAAAAAATTGTTTTCACACTCTACCCCTGGGCTTCTACTTACCAAAGAAAGCAATGCTTGGTTCCTTAACACTAACACCCCTCTGCGTGGGGGAATTGCCTATTTCCCGAGCTTGACTTTGGAAGCTCGCCCATCCTGGGTGCTAGGTCCTCCGGGTTCTTTTCCTACACGTTTTGTTTCTTGTCACTGATTCCAATCCTCACAATACAACCTCACTTGTCCCACTTCCTCCCAGGGTGCCCCCTTTTCATTCTTACTCTTTCCTAACTCTTCCGAACTTTGTCCTGAGCAAATGTTACTCTTGGCATCTCTGTTCATTGTTCATTCGAAGGAGGGTATACCTCCCGAGTGCAAGGACTCGCCTGGTAGACCTGTTTACTGTTTGACTGAACGCTGAGTCACTGGCATGAGGTCCGGTCTAGACTGCAGGGGATTAAGGACCATGCCTTAGCGGGTCCCAGCAGTCTTGAGCTCACAGTAAGCCTCGTCTTACTGGTCTCATTTTGAGTTTTGTTCCACATTTTTCCCTCACTATATCGAGGATCTCCCAATATGATCCCTTTCAGAGAAGTTGGGAGCGGTAGATTGGCACCATTTCATCTTTCAAGTGTTAGAGACTTGGAGGCTGTTGCTTACGTGATTCCTTAGCCTTTGGACTAACTGTTTCTACGTGTCTCTGATTTCCTTCACTCTTCGCTCCTCCAGATGGGAGAGAGTAAGAGATGTACCTCGGATGGCTGCTCCTAAGACTGTAAAACCCCAGTCACTCTCACGAAAGTAGGCTGTAGAACATTGGCTTTGTGGGCTCTGCTGCACAAACGGACTTGGCCCCTCAAGACCATGAGGGCCCTACAGTTGCATATTCTGGTTATAGGTAATATTTTTTAAAATGAAATATATTGTTATGATGCTTTTGAAGCAAAATTGGAGCTAATGGCAGACCAATTCCCCAAAGCTTGATGGTCTTCCCTCCATCCCTCCAGGTTCTCAAATTTGGTAAGCTGAGTGAATCCATAAAATTACTAATGAGACGCTGCCTAAAAGTGCCTGTCCTTGATAATACACTCACATTTCTTTCCACCTATGAGCTATTTCCTCTTGGGGTCTGGTTTTAGTCAACTCTCACAGGTCTCCTTCTAGATCCTAACTCTGAAGTGTTTATTTGGGCCAATGGATGACCTAAGAGGAACCAAGATAATGACCATTAAAAGAAAACACGAAGTGCAATAGAGGATGAATTCATCTGTGGCTGGCTCAAGATATTTTTTTTTCCTGAAATGCCTTATATTTTGAAAGAAATAAAACTACTGTTACATAACCCTTAGTCCTGTCTCTCTTCCAGGAAATCTGTGATCAACGATTGTTCACAGAGGTATTTTACAACGTACAGGTCTTCTGGAGAACGGCATCACGCTTCCATTCCAGAGAGGGAAGCGATGGCACATAGAAGCTCTTTTTTAAAAGATCGAGATAAGAACATAGTGCTAAAATTCGAGATGAAGTTTTATAAGTATCCTATTGAATAAACCCAACGAGGTTGATGAGCATGTCTAGCAGTACTTAAAAGTTTATTATGTTGATACAAAAAATTCACAACAAAATTTTACTATGTGTCGGAGTCTACGTAATACATTTTCCATCCATTAACTCACATCACAAAACAACTTCAAGAGCTAGACCCTACTTTTGTCCAAGTGGTAGAGCTGAGGAAATGGAAAGAAAGTAAGTAAGCTGCTCAGGATTCCGTAGACTGTAAGCAGCCGCCAGGATTTGGAGGCAAGTGTTCTTAATGACTCTGCTCTGAAATACAAATCCTTGACCTTAAAAAACCCATGTTTTAAAATACGTCAGATAGAAAAAAATGTCACATTCACCAACACTGTGAGCAAGAGGTAATAAAAGAAATGTCGTATATGGAATAATTCAATCTTTATAGCATATCACTTTGTGAAATGAAAAATTCTTTGGGACATGACCTAGTATATTAAGCAAGCTATGAGTTTGAACCTAGAAGTTATCGCTGAAATTTAATCAAATCAATGGTTTCGTGTTGCCAATTAGGCATATTGAGGTACTAAGACTATTTCAAATTGTTTAAGCAGGACCAAATGCTTAAAACATCGAATGACTGATTAGAAGTTATAAGGAGAACCAGGCTATTGAACACATGTTAAAACACAAGATGTTTTAAGAGATCATTGAATACATTACTATTTTTCAAAAGCTGCTTCCATTTCCGATAAAGATACCAATTTGTATTAACATTTCCATTATGCATGTTAATATAGTAATATATAATATATGCCTATTAAACAAATAGAACTAAGATCGTTATTATAAAGAAGGTAGGAGGATAAAGATGGGATTGAGAATCAGCTCTTCACTTTTGCCCTGCCACTGAAATAGCATACCAACATATTCATACGGGATATATAGTAAATTCCACACCAGTTCCTATCATGGTAATTGATACCCATGGAAGCAGCGCTCAAGAAATCAAAAGATTTCTTCCACTGGGCAAATCTGTGGCACAAGGTCTCTGACGTGTTTTTTAAAAGGAAGATGCCACTTTGAGAACTAATGTGCACCTGCTCCAAGCTATGGTTTCTCATTAATCTGCTACATATGCAAAAGCTGGACACGGACTAAGGACGACGGCAGAAGAACGTATGTGTTTGAATTATGTGCTGGCTAAGAATATTGAATATGCCACGGACTGTTGGAAGAGCAAACGGCTGTGTCTCGGAAGAAGTACGACCAGATGCTTCTTGAAGCAAGGGTAGCAGACGTCATATCCCCTATTTTGGACTTGTCATCAGGAGGGACCAGTCCCCATGAAGCAGAGGGTGGATGAAAAAGTGGGCGAGCCTCAACAAGAGTGGTTGATACTGTAGCTACAGCAGTCGGCTCCCACGTAGCATTGAGTACCAGGATGGCGCAGGACCGGGCAGTGTTTGGTTCTGTCGACCATGGAGAGGGTCACTAGAAGTCAGAACTAACTCAAAAGCACCTAACAGCAGCAATAGCATTTCAAATTACACTCAAGGTCCCTGGAAGCAGCACTCAAGAAACCAAAAGACAGCGCACAGTGTTGTGCAAATCTGCTACAGGAGATGGTTCATAATTCAAGAGACTTCTTTAACGTAATTTGAGTGCTTATAGCAACATATATGTTGATCTGCTTTTAAAACACATCTTAAGGTCTACAGTATAGAAGTCATTACTTACTGCTGTGACAAGTTTTCTGATATTTTCCACGTACAGCATCACATAATCCTTGATGTACATTGGGTAGTCAGTTACACTGATGCCGTACCAATTCATCATCAGTGCCACTTCGTTTTCATTGTTGCCACTCCATGTGATGATAGAGGGATGAGATTTTAGTCTCCTGACCTGAGATTTAAGAAAATATAAAGTGATTTTCAAATGCTCACAATAAAATAACAAAGCAACAACTTCAGCTCTATGGTTATTCATAAAATCATAGCCAGCTGCACGTCTGCATGTAAATCCTATGTACCAGAAAGTCTCATTAGTTGGAAAATAGCTAGTCATATTAGCTGCGTGCATACATTTTAAAATTATTTAAATCTCAAGATTCTTTTTGTCTAGATTGCTTATCACCAATTAGAGGGTTCCTCTTTCCTGCTCAGTACAAACTGAAGGAAATACAATCCCTTTGTGAAAACAAAAATAAGTCCGCCTCGTCATGATCCGAATCACCACAAGAAGGTTCTAAGGAATAAAAATGCAGGAGTCTGTGAGTTCCCAAGACTCAGGAGTTCATTCTTAAGAGCAAATTGGAGTTTTGTGTACAACTTTAAGGGTCCCATGAATTCTCCATCAGCCATAACCAAGTCAATAGGAAGGCAAGAAGGGGTTTTACAATGCAAATGAGAGTCAGAAAGAGGTAAAGCTGGAGAAGGCAGGGGCAAGGGAACAAAACTCTTCCATGGAAGTAAGAGATGGTCATTAAGAGAACACTCTGAAGGGGGAAAA